TAAAAACATTCAAGAGTCAACAATCCACAGGTACTTTGAAAGACTTACTTGGTGATCCAAATCTGACTTATATCCTGGATATGTCTTCCACCATTACAATAGTCCCAGGCAAACTCACATGCTAAAGTACACAAAAATTTCCAAATATGAAGCTTTGTAACACCTAGGTATTATGGTATACATGCTGTGAAAACAATGAACTGAAAGGGCTTCCTACCCTCAAGAGTTCTTAAAATTAATACAAATAGCTAAAAGGTGTTTATTGTGGCAGGGGCTCACTCAAACAGCAAAATCCAATTTTAGACAAAGCGGGATTTTGTTTAACAGTCTTATTTTGTTTTGTAGGGGTGTTATGTAAGAATATTATTTGTATTTTCCAACACTGTTTGGAAATATAAATATTATATACTGGAATATATTTTTGCTTTTATATCCAGAAAACATACCATTATCAACTGAAGAAGGCTTGGCCTATATCTCAGTCTTTTAAATAAATATTTGCTGATACTTATTTAAAAGTAAGTAGCAAAAAAATTTCAGTAATTTCTAGAAATCAGATCATCAAAACATAAACTATAGCCAGGTATAGTGGTGCACACTTGCAATCTCAGTGATCCAGGAGGCTGAGGCAGGAATACCACAAGTTTGAGGCCAGCCTGCAAAACTTAGTGAGACCTGTTTCAAAACTGTAAGGGCTGAGAATGTAGTTCAGTGGTTAAGTGCCTCTGGTTTAGTCCCCAGTATCAAAAAATAAACACACACACACACACACACACACACACCACACACACAACCTCTATTCCTCACTTTATAGTAAACCTGAAATACAGATGCATTTTTACAGTCATAGACAAAGACAAGCTAATTACTGAATCTAATAAACCTGCTTCCTCTACCCTGATGTCCAACACATTTCAATCAACTTTCAGAAGTGGCTGGGTCAGGTAAACACCCTGGGGACTCACCCCCATCAACTTTTAGACAAATAAATCATCCATGGATCATAAGTTCTGAAGCATGCTTGATTCAGCCAAATCAAGTCATAATTCTGAAAACACTTTGCTTAACAATAAGGACTAGGAAATAAAGTGTTTAATTTTAAAATGTACTGTTCTCAAAGCTCTAAGTAAACTTCAACTAAACAGACTGAGCCCTTATGCTTGCTTCAATTCAGAAGTGCCAAAACAGGGAATTAGTGTTTGAGMCAGCAGGTTTCTGCTAGCTGTTTTCAACTCAAATTCCTACCCCCTGCCCCAATTCTACCCACTTTCCTTAAACCTGATTTAACTCTGTCAATCACACTTTTCACCATCCTCACTACCAAACTTTAAAAATTTTTTTTTATATATCGACGAACCTTTTATTTTATTCATTTATTTATATGCGGTGCTGAGAATTGAACCCAGTGCCTCACACATGTCAGGCATATGCTCTGCCACTGAGCCACAACCCCAGCCCCCCCCAAACTTATTTTTGATCACTATTTCAAAACAAAAGAGCCAATGGAATAGGAGAATATACCAACCAACAAAGGCAAAGGCTGAGATTAAGAAAAAAGGAAAACAGTCACTGAAAAACGTAAGGCAGAATCTCAAACACTGTTGAAACTGCCTTATAAAACCATTAGTATATTAAAACAGTCCTGCCTCTCTAATGAAATTTACCTAGGTTTGTTTCTGAAAAAGACCACAGGCTGCAATTTCACTGATGGCTTATACTCACACTCACTGAAATTAACAAGATCCACCTCGCTCCATGGTAAGTGGGAAAGATGCAAATATGAATCTTTCATTCCAGGCTCTTCTGCTAGTTTTTCTTAATCTATCAATTTGTTAAAGGGTGGGCTTTTCCTCCTGCTTCAAGGTTAACTCCTCTTTGTTCGAATTGAAAGTGGGGATTCTGAGCTCTGTGTCAGACTACATAGATTTGAATCCTCTCTGGGCCACTCAACAGTTGGGTCACTTTAGAATACTGGACCTTTCTCTGTGCCTCTTTCCTAACCTGGAAACTGGAGATAACAGTATTTCCCATGAAGTCACTGTGAAATTATTTATGAGTCAATTATCATATTGCCTAGCACACAGAGGTGTCCAATAACTTAATCTGTTATCATCTTAGTGCCAAATTCTTCCTAAACACGGAAAGGTTAACCTGGCTTAAAGAAAAAGTGAAAAAGAAATATATATATATATATAAAACTCCCTATAATTGTTTTCAGTCAGAACGAAGGATATGCTAAAAAAAAAAAGCATATGTTCTGTAGTCACAGACTCCTTTCTCATGCAGCTTTGTTAAGTGTAAGTCATCTTGAATAAAAATAAATATTAAGAAAAATGATGCATTTGGCTTACAATGCTTCCATAGCCCTAAAAAAAGACTGGGAGTTCTCCTGTTGCTGTTGGTTTCCCAGCAATGTTTTTTTTTTTTTTTTTTTTTTTTGGGGGGGGGGACTGAAGATTAGAACCCAGGGCCTTGTGCATGCAAGGCAAGCACTCTACCGACTGATCTATATCCCCAGCCCTCCCAGCAATGTTTTTAAGGACCCAAGTTAATAAGTGATATTTTTAAATGGCCCTTATTATGTTTAATGCAGAGAGACTGATGTGAGTTGTGCAGTTATCCTCCTACCTGTGGGCTTCCACATGTCCCAAGAGATTTTCCACATATCTAAAGTCAGACTGTTCTTTGCTTAACATTCATTCAAGAGATGAGAAGCTTGTCCTGTTTTTATGCTTGACTTTTAAAAATAATCTTATCAGTCTAACCCAAGATCAACTTCATCCCTCATCTACAAAAGTGCTTTATCTTTCCAAGACACTCTTGAAAAATAACTGATGGTTCTCTCTACTTAATGAAGATATAGAATCAGTCTGGCTCTTCTTACTATTTTGTTTCTCAACACATCCTTTGCAGAGTGAAAACCTGTAATACCATTAATACCTAATACCCACTTCACACCTGGATAGTTTCTTTGACCTTTTGTTCAAATCTTTGACTCTTCAAACCTTTCTTACTGCAATGATTTTAATATGAATCACAATTATAAACATGAAACTGATTCTCAATTTTACTTCATTTTTTCATTGTTTTCAAATATGCAAAATGATGTGTTTGATAAAAATAACCAATTTTCCATCTTTGCAAACAACTGAAAAATTTGTACTTATGAGAAAGGAGTACATATTTTATGCACTTCTGTATATGGAATGCAATACTACACAGTAAAGAAAAAATATTAAAAACCAAAGTTCATTTACATCATCTATCTTTTCCTCAAACATTCCTACTGATTACTAACGAACAACAAAAAATCATAAAGTACAATATACTTCTTCCTAATAACCAGAACCAGGAGAATACGATCGCAACCATTTCTGGGAGGAAAAGTTTCAAGACGAATAATTTTAAAAGGAAAAAAATGTACAATTAATATGCTGTCAGTAACCTAAAAGCTTACATTACCTCTTCGGGATCAGTCTCAAACTCTACATTTAAGAGCATAAACATATTTACTGTCCTATAAATTTTTCCCCCTACAAACTCAATTATCCCCACCATTGACAAAAGAACAATCTTCTTTTAAAAGTTCCTACAAAGTATGAACAGAAACTTTTTTAAACTTTTATAATAATGTACAAAACAATATCAAAATATTATGAAACACCAGTATCCCATCCTCTGCCCTTACAAAGAAAACGTAACACGAAGAAACTGAGGAGGCAAATTCTCAAATAAAAAATATAAAGGATTCATGGGATAAATAGCTGAAAGGAATAAAAATTTAGTAACAGGCTAAAAGCAATAGAAATTCTAATCTACACTCACAACTCTTACCCTTGACAGCACAGAACAGAATATCCTGCCTTACACATTTTGAAATTGCAATTTTAAAACGCTAAATCCAAAGACAAAGCCACCCAGGGGAAAATAACAATTGCGCAACAGATCAACAGCTCCAACTTGTCCCTTGGCCTCAGCGTGGCGAGGTTTGCACGCTATAAAGCAGGAAAGGGCCAACTGAGGGCCGCCGTGACAGCCAACCGGCCACTGTCACTGAGGCCAAGGCCACGAATACTAGGATCCACACACAGGCACCGCGCCCCGAACAAGAAATCCCGGTCACTGCCCACTCAAACCTCACAGTCCGCGGACCGGCCCTCACGTTCTGCTGCGGTGCAAGGGGCCAACCCTGGGTTCCCAGCCCAAACCTCTCCCCTGACCCAAAAGAGCGAGCAGAAACGCGCGCGGCACCCCTCCCGGCCGCCGGCCGCACGTCGAGGGATTCCAGCGCGCAGGGCACTTCGTGACTCCCCCCCCCCCACCTCAGGGGATTGGGTTTTCTAGATCAAAGCTTCCAACGCGTGATCCCGTGGATCCACTGGTTAGGTTACTTGGCAAAGTAGCGCCCACAGACGGCCCAGCGGGGTGAGTGCGAGGTGCCACAGCCAGTACCCGCCTAAGTGGTGGGGCCCGGAGATGGAGGGACGCGGCGGGAGAGGAGGGGCTCCAGGCCTAGGCCAGCAGGAGACCTCAGCTCCCCCGAGAGCGGCCCCGTGACTAGGCACATTTTTGCCGGCTCCGAGTCTGGGGAGCCGCGCAGCCCCGGAAAGGGCCGGGCCGCGCCGGCTCAGACTGCCAGCGTCCGCCCCCTCCTGCCCCGCAGCCTCTTGGGCCGCTCAAACTCGAGGACCAGGCCAGGGTTCGGGGTCCCAGCTTCGAGGGCCAGGGAGCGGCCATAGACGCTTCCTCTCCCCACACACGCTGGCACAGCCCCCGAACCTCTCCCCACACTTCCACCCAGCCATCCTCAGGGGCCGCAGGTACGTTGACGGTCTGACCGTCCGGCGACGTCCCCACACCCTTCACTGCCTCAAGGGTCGCGCATCGGCTCGTGTCCGGCCGCTGCAGTCCAGGCTCTGGCTGTCCCTCCCAAGCCGTGGTTCCCTCGCGCCCCAGCCCCCGTCCCGACACCAACTTGGAGCCCCGGGGCTAGGGAGCACCTGCTGGGACGGCAGTCCTGGCGGCGGCAACTCCATGTCCATCATGCTGAGCTGGAGACTGCGTTGGGGCTCCTCGACGGCGACCCTGTCCCGGCTGCCAAAGCGCGGCGTGGACAGGGCAGCACTGGCGGCAGCGGCAGCTCCTGGGGCCCCCGGCACTCCCCGTTCGGCTACTCGTCCAGAGTTGCGGGCCAGCCCTCTGGCCTGCTCCGCCTCCCGCCCCCTGAGGGCGGGGCAAGATCCCGGGCCCTTCCTTCCCCGGCGGCGCGGCTGCCGAAAATCCCCCACCCCCGCCCCGGCTGACGCAAGAAGCTTGGTGTCCGGGGGCGCGAAGGGGCGGCGGGCTGGGGTCCTTTGGAGCGGCCTGAGGAGAGGTAGTGTTCGACCCCGGGTCCCCGCGCTCAATTTGTCCTTCCCCGCATAGAAGGGCGGCCCTCTTGCTGGAGAGATTAAGAGTTGTTTGACCAAGGTGGCTTGGGCTCTGGCTTGAAACAGTTTAAACAGTTGGAACAAACACGCCCGGAGCCCCTGTAAAGGCGCCGGTATCGGAGCTGCGCCTCGCTGATTTGGAGTTGCAGAACCTTGCCCGTTTTATCTCACCCCACCGCCCAAATGTGGCGCCAGCCCAGAGGCGGGGGCCGAGGATTTGGACCGCGGCGGTGCGTACCGCCAACTGCCCTCTGGCCCTCGGTCCCCTCCAGAGCTGGAGCCAGAGCCCTGCCCAGGGGAGGTGTGGGCCACGCTGCGAGCTCGTGCTCGCAGTCACCCTGAACGCCCTCGATTTATTCCCTTGCGCTCGCACTCTCTGAGCTCTGGTCGCCGAGGGCAAACGAAGGGTGTTTGGGTGGGTCAGGGTTGCCCACCAAGAGCTGAGCGGGAACGCGAAGACCTTTCTCTTCCCTCCAAAGCACGCACAAACCACAGATGGCGTTCTTCAACAGGACAACACTCCAAAATTTTAGAAATTTTCAAGTACTCGCGATATAGTTAAAAAAATATAAAGTTATAAAATGATTGAGGGGCTGGGGTTGTAGCTCAGTGGCAGAGTGCTTGCCTAGCATGGGTGAGGAACTGGGTGGAAGTTTTAACATCACATAAAATAAAGGCATGCTGTTCACCTATAACTACAATTTTTTTAAATGATTGATATAGTATAGACCTGTTTTGTAAAAACCTGTGCCTAGGGATGAAGAATGGTAACTTATGTATAAATGGTTGTAAAATAATGAATTATTTTTCTTTCTCTTTGCTTTAAATGTGTTTTTCTACTGTGAATCTGTATTATGTCTTTACATTTAAAACATTTAAAAATTAATCATTGCCTACAGATAACAAAGTATTTGAAAACAAGAATAGTGTGAACTCCTACAAGTTTTAAAAGAGGCTAGATGGTTTGGGCTTTTTTCTCTTACGCATTAACACACGAACTCTGGAGCAAGCCTACTTTGCAGTTTCTAGCTTCTCGGAATTATTTAAAACCAGGTGAAGCAGATAGTACCAACAGTGGTTTTACTATTTCATTCAAAAACCTGACTGTAGCAGATCAACGCCTGCCCTGCACCCGCCCCGCCCNAAATATTAAGAAAAATGATGCATTTGGCTTACAATGCTTCCATAGCCCTAAAAAAAGACTGGGAGTTCTCCTGTTGCTGTTGGTTTCCCAGCAATTTTTTTTTTTTTTTTTTTTTTTTTGGGGGGGGGGTACTGAAGATTAGAACCCAGGGCCTTGTGCATGCAAGGCAAGCACTCTACCGACTGATCTATATCCCCAGCCCTCCCAGCAATGTTTTTAAGGACCCAAGTTAATAAGTGATATTTTTAAATGGCCCTTATTATGTTTAATGCAGAGAGACTGATGTGAGTTGTGCAGTTATCCTCCTACCTGTGGGCTTCCACATGTCCCAAGAGATTTTCCACATATCTAAAGTCAGACTGTTCTTTGCTTAACATTCATTCAAGAGATGAGAAGCTTGTCCTGTTTTTATGCTTGACTTTTAAAAATAATCTTATCAGTCTAACCCAAGATCAACTTCATCCCTCATCTACAAAAGTGCTTTATCTTTCCAAGACACTCTTGAAAAATAACTGATGGTTCTCTCTACTTAATGAAGATATAGAATCAGTCTGGCTCTTCTTACTATTTTGTTTCTCAACACATCCTTTGCAGAGTGAAAACCTGTAATACCATTAATACCTAATACCCACTTCACACCTGGATAGTTTCTTTGACCTTTTGTTCAAATCTTTGACTCTTCAAACCTTTCTTACTGCAATGATTTTAATATGAATCACAATTATAAACATGAAACTGATTCTCAATTTTACTTCATTTTTTCATTGTTTTCAAATATGCAAAATGATGTGTTTGATAAAAATAACCAATTTTCCATCTTTGCAAACAACTGAAAAATTTGTACTTATGAGAAAGGAGTACATATTTTATGCACTTCTGTATATGGAATGCAATACTACACAGTAAAGAAAAAATATTAAAAACCAAAGTTCATTTACATCATCTATCTTTTCCTCAAACATTCCTACTGATTACTAACGAACAACAAAAAATCATAAAGTACAATATACTTCTTCCTAATAACCAGAACCAGGAGAATACGATCGCAACCATTTCTGGGAGGAAAAGTTTCAAGACGAATAATTTTAAAAGGAAAAAAATGTACAATTAATATGCTGTCAGTAACCTAAAAGCTTACATTACCTCTTCGGGATCAGTCTCAAACTCTACATTTAAGAGCATAAACATATTTACTGTCCTATAAATTTTTCCCCCTACAAACTCAATTATCCCCACCATTGACAAAAGAACAATCTTCTTTTAAAAGTTCCTACAAAGTATGAACAGAAACTTTTTTAAACTTTTATAATAATGTACAAAACAATATCAAAATATTATGAAACACCAGTATCCCATCCTCTGCCCTTACAAAGAAAACGTAACACGAAGAAACTGAGGAGGCAAATTCTCAAATAAAAAATATAAAGGATTCATGGGATAAATAGCTGAAAGGAATAAAAATTTAGTAACAGGCTAAAAGCAATAGAAATTCTAATCTACACTCACAACTCTTACCCTTGACAGCACAGAACAGAATATCCTGCCTTACACATTTTGAAATTGCAATTTTAAAACGCTAAATCCAAAGACAAAGCCACCCAGGGGAAAATAACAATTGCGCAACAGATCAACAGCTCCAACTTGTCCCTTGGCCTCAGCGTGGCGAGGTTTGCACGCTATAAAGCAGGAAAGGGCCAACTGAGGGCCGCCGTGACAGCCAACCGGCCACTGTCACTGAGGCCAAGGCCACGAATACTAGGATCCACACACAGGCACCGCGCCCCGAACAAGAAATCCCGGTCACTGCCCACTCAAACCTCACAGTCCGCGGACCGGCCCTCACGTTCTGCTGCGGTGCAAGGGGCCAACCCTGGGTTCCCAGCCCAAACCTCTCCCCTGACCCAAAAGAGCGAGCAGAAACGCGCGCGGCACCCCTCCCGGCCGCCGGCCGCACGTCGAGGGATTCCAGCGCGCAGGGCACTTCGTGACTCCCCCCCCCCCACCTCAGGGGATTGGGTTTTCTAGATCAAAGCTTCCAACGCGTGATCCCGTGGATCCACTGGTTAGGTTACTTGGCAAAGTAGCGCCCACAGACGGCCCAGCGGGGTGAGTGCGAGGTGCCACAGCCAGTACCCGCCTAAGTGGTGGGGCCCGGAGATGGAGGGACGCGGCGGGAGAGGAGGGGCTCCAGGCCTAGGCCAGCAGGAGACCTCAGCTCCCCCGAGAGCGGCCCCGTGACTAGGCACATTTTTGCCGGCTCCGAGTCTGGGGAGCCGCGCAGCCCCGGAAAGGGCCGGGCCGCGCCGGCTCAGACTGCCAGCGTCCGCCCCCTCCTGCCCCGCAGCCTCTTGGGCCGCTCAAACTCGAGGACCAGGCCAGGGTTCGGGGTCCCAGCTTCGAGGGCCAGGGAGCGGCCATAGACGCTTCCTCTCCCCACACACGCTGGCACAGCCCCCGAACCTCTCCCCACACTTCCACCCAGCCATCCTCAGGGGCCGCAGGTACGTTGACGGTCTGACCGTCCGGCGACGTCCCCACACCCTTCACTGCCTCAAGGGTCGCGCATCGGCTCGTGTCCGGCCGCTGCAGTCCAGGCTCTGGCTGTCCCTCCCAAGCCGTGGTTCCCTCGCGCCCCAGCCCCCGTCCCGACACCAACTTGGAGCCCCGGGGCTAGGGAGCACCTGCTGGGACGGCAGTCCTGGCGGCGGCAACTCCATGTCCATCATGCTGAGCTGGAGACTGCGTTGGGGCTCCTCGACGGCGACCCTGTCCCGGCTGCCAAAGCGCGGCGTGGACAGGGCAGCACTGGCGGCAGCGGCAGCTCCTGGGGCCCCCGGCACTCCCCGTTCGGCTACTCGTCCAGAGTTGCGGGCCAGCCCTCTGGCCTGCTCCGCCTCCCGCCCCCTGAGGGCGGGGCAAGATCCCGGGCCCTTCCTTCCCCGGCGGCGCGGCTGCCGAAAATCCCCCACCCCCGCCCCGGCTGACGCAAGAAGCTTGGTGTCCGGGGGCGCGAAGGGGCGGCGGGCTGGGGTCCTTTGGAGCGGCCTGAGGAGAGGTAGTGTTCGACCCCGGGTCCCCGCGCTCAATTTGTCCTTCCCCGCATAGAAGGGCGGCCCTCTTGCTGGAGAGATTAAGAGTTGTTTGACCAAGGTGGCTTGGGCTCTGGCTTGAAACAGTTTAAACAGTTGGAACAAACACGCCCGGAGCCCCTGTAAAGGCGCCGGTATCGGAGCTGCGCCTCGCTGATTTGGAGTTGCAGAACCTTGCCCGTTTTATCTCACCCCACCGCCCAAATGTGGCGCCAGCCCAGAGGCGGGGGCCGAGGATTTGGACCGCGGCGGTGCGTACCGCCAACTGCCCTCTGGCCCTCGGTCCCCTCCAGAGCTGGAGCCAGAGCCCTGCCCAGGGGAGGTGTGGGCCACGCTGCGAGCTCGTGCTCGCAGTCACCCTGAACGCCCTCGATTTATTCCCTTGCGCTCGCACTCTCTGAGCTCTGGTCGCCGAGGGCAAACGAAGGGTGTTTGGGTGGGTCAGGGTTGCCCACCAAGAGCTGAGCGGGAACGCGAAGACCTTTCTCTTCCCTCCAAAGCACGCACAAACCACAGATGGCGTTCTTCAACAGGACAACACTCCAAAATTTTAGAAATTTTCAAGTACTCGCGATATAGTTAAAAAAATATAAAGTTATAAAATGATTGAGGGGCTGGGGTTGTAGCTCAGTGGCAGAGTGCTTGCCTAGCATGGGTGAGGAACTGGGTGGAAGTTTTAACATCACATAAAATAAAGGCATGCTGTTCACCTATAACTACAATTTTTTTAAATGATTGATATAGTATAGACCTGTTTTGTAAAAACCTGTGCCTAGGGATGAAGAATGGTAACTTATGTATAAATGGTTGTAAAATAATGAATTATTTTTCTTTCTCTTTGCTTTAAATGTGTTTTTCTACTGTGAATCTGTATTATGTCTTTACATTTAAAACATTTAAAAATTAATCATTGCCTACAGATAACAAAGTATTTGAAAACAAGAATAGTGTGAACTCCTACAAGTTTTAAAAGAGGCTAGATGGTTTGGGCTTTTTTCTCTTACGCATTAACACACGAACTCTGGAGCAAGCCTACTTTGCAGTTTCTAGCTTCTCGGAATTATTTAAAACCAGGTGAAGCAGATAGTACCAACAGTGGTTTTACTATTTCATTCAAAAACCTGACTGTAGCAGATCAACGCCTGCCCTGCACCCGCCCCGCCCCCTAGCCCCCCCCCCAAAAAAAAACCCTTCAAGAGCTTACTTTCCCTTGGTTGCATAATTTGACACGCCCAGCAATTACATGTAGGTTTACATGTTCAAATATTCTTTTAGATAAGTGAAGTGTAATTACTTGTAATTGAAGCAGGCTTCTCCAACTTGAATTAAACCTCAG